CAAAGACCTTTTTAGATCTTTCCAATTCGTCCACGGTGGAAGATACGAGCCACCCGAATCGAAAGGCGAAAATCGGGTGAATCCACTGATATCACCGGAATTGCCGCCAAGTAAGTGAGTAAGTGGCAATTGGTTGGTTCAGATATTCCGAAAAACAAGGATAAAGCGAGGGAGGACAAAAATGCAAGCTCTTCCTCGATTGAAGATGTTAATCAAGGTAAAAAAACGGAAGGCCGACGAGCCGCCGAAACCCAAACGGGCCAAGATTTTGACCCCACCACCAGATGGAACACTCTGGGATTCATAAAATTACAGCTGCGCTTAGGGCTGCCCACCGTCCCCGGTTTTACGGGTGTGACGGGTTCCGTCAACGGCATGCCGTCCCGTCCCGTGGAGCCTCTGACCGACAAAATTTGCGGGACCGGAACCACGATGAGCTCCCCTACCCGCCTCAGGCTTACGCAGTCCCACTGTGCAGCGCACTCCTAGAGAGAACTTGAAGGTCATTCTATGCTCCAGCTCAAAATATATGCGACTGGTTTCGGAGAAAGTAGTTTGATGCTTGTGAAATACGACGGCGGGGTTGCGGCGGGATCGCTGGCGCCATGGCCGTGGGATGGCGGGGGGTAACAACGGCGCCAGCAAGCTCTGATGCGAGGCTACGCGAAATCTTACGTTGACGCAGTCACATCAGGTCACACCCAACCAGCCTTGAAATCTGACTCAATCCAGCGCGAAATCGGATTGAAAATTCTACTGTGTAACACCAATTATCAAATCTGGTTTTTCATGAGGATTTATCGGCGTCTATTCAGTCTACTACCGAGACTTCATATAAGTCGACCGATAGAACGTCTGGACTAGCTTCTCTTTACAAATTACAGATGCAAACTGCACGCCCATACACCGCCGACTAAGGCCACCTCTTCTGGCGTCTACACTGATTACTCTCAAGTAACAGCTCGACGTGTAATCTTACCTACCTATCCTCGAAGCTCAGTCGGCCGTATAGCGATTATTGCGCCGCAAACTTTGCCACGCACAACCCGCGACTCCATTGCTCCTTTCCAACACCTATAACCTAACCACCTTCTGCTATCAGACTCCGACGTACTCGCTAGTATTTGCTTAGATAATTTCATACCGAATATTTTCCAATGGAACCAACAGCGGGATAGAACGGCTGGACTAGCTTCCCATCCCAGATGCAAACCGTATGGGCATGCGACGTCGCCGTCTGAGGATCACCTCGTTTGGTTGTTTACATTAACGACTCCACGTGTACCGCTGCGTGCCTCAAGATTAGCTCAGACGATCCTCGGATCTCGAATTTTCGTCGGTCGTGTGGCGGTTATTAGGCGGCAAACTTCGCCACGCAGTGTCTTAAAAGCTCACGACTCCGTTGCTCCTTTCCAACACCTTCCACCTATCGGACTCCGACGTACTTGTTTAAATCATTTCATACCGAATATTTTCCAATGGAACCAACAGAAAGGTGTGTGTTTGATGGTAGTTCCTCGCTGATGGTATTCATTGTGTCATCGCAACTAGGTTCGAACAGATTGAACTAAACGGTATTCCTCTTTAGACGATTTTGTTCGTTCCAATCCAATATTTCAAGTCATTCGTCTACAGGGGCTTCCTCGTGATATCCGCACTTTGTTGAGCAAAGTGTATCTTGAAATGCGTGTGGGCACACAAGTCCATCGGACAACGAGCGCTAGAGGGATGGCGCCACATGCATGGAATGAAAAATTTGCCTTGTAAGCATCTCTTCTAGGTTTTATGTAATCGTGGCTCATGCAATAATTTCACAAGTGATTTGGCTGGTTCTGAGGACCTGTGGGTCGGCCTTTACATGACAAGGCTTTTTGGCCAGCCAATCATGATAAGCAACGTCACCGTACACACCGACCGCGACCCTCGGAACCAGGGTATTTGATACTCATTTTCATCCATTCGGATCAGCTGGGCTTACATGCTCTAGACTTTCGAAAACAGTTTCCTTCTTCAAATAAACAGCGTCAGATGATCGTCATATGCCGGCTGCGAGAACTTGGGGAGGAACTCGATGCACCACGGTCTGGGAGTATGATACACCAGACGTCGCTAGACTCCTAAGTGCAGTGATGTAAAGAAGCTTGTAGTTAGAGACCTGTTTTAATACATCAGCTCTTCGTACAGTAGCCCATGGCCTGCAGCATCCCACCCCAATAAGCTCCCCAGGTATTATGTAATGCTCTATTAGGTAGGTTAAGTTGCGGCGATTTAATTAACCTACCTAAGAGGTACGACGTCTACGGGGGATAAGTAATGCTTCTATTACTCATTTAGACTGACGCTGGTGGCGAGCGCCTCCTCCAGAGGTGTCAGAGGCGGAGGTGACTATGGTGCAGTGCCCTGGCCGCCGTTCTTGAGGTGACTCTGGATGGTAGATGTATATAAAGCAGTGCAGAGTGGGAAAAAAAGTCGACGGTTACGAAAATAAAATAAAAGGACGCGGGTACAATTTATTTGGACGCGGGGAATCGAACCCCGGACTGCCAGAAACGCGAACACATTTACTATCGCTCCGTACACCACGCCCGGTTAACGCACGTCTTCATTCCCGCGTCGTGAAGTGGTCTAGTAAACACAAGGCTGAGGTGAGGTGATAGGTGGAAACTCAATCGGGCTTGCGGCGATATGCGATATTCACGAGAGCTGTGTACACGTAAATAAGAAATCAGCGTGATCAGCGGCCAGGCCCGAGAACCTACGAAATAAGCCGACGCGGGAGTCGAAGTGTATCATACTGCTTGGATCTGGATGGGTATAAGAGAGCTGGCGGTGTTCTATAAGACAACATTTGAGTATTTGGATTTGGTCCGTCACCGGTTCACTCCTTTTTTTTTTTTTTTTTTTGGTGTAGCGTTTGGTGTGGTTTGCGACAGTCGACATAAGTCGTCTTCCCGCCCCCGCTATATTTTGGATCAGAGGGAAAACTAGAAACCTCCGAACTTGTGTATCGATACCCTGAGGAAATGCTACTGTACCATTTCGACCGTAGGTTCAGCCACTGTGACCTGTGACCACTTAGGTTCAACTTTTGATTGATTCAATTTCCTTTTTGGGCGATTTTTCGGCATTTTCCGGTGAATTTTAGCAGGAAAACGACCAAAAACCGCGATCTCAAAAGCCAGTGACCTGTGACAAAAATTAAATAGATTCGATTTGGGTCTGGCTGTGACCTGTGACCTGAACCTACGGTCGAAATGGTACAGTATTATGCACTGAGTGTGGGACTCATGACTAATCCGGCACAGCCTCCCGCGGTCATCCCCATACTTACCTCCCGCGTCTCCCCCCCTGCTGTCTCTTCGGCCCGATACCACTAAAACCTCAGATACTCCCGTCCAGTCTTCCGGGAGTTGGTCCTCATTTGCTAGGACCCCTGTCCAGGTTCTCAGGACAGTCTTCGCTGGCAGCGCTTTCTTCTCGTACCTTCGGTGCGTCATATTGCAGTCCATTTGGACCCGCGCGTTCATAGTGTTTACCCAGCGGTTATGTATTTCCACCTCTGTTGGGTGGGCTCCGTTATTCTTCATTACTCTTTCACACCTCATCTTCCAGATTAGGTATGCAGACTCAGTTACGATGATACGATATAGCCGTGCGTCTCCGGGCTTTATTTTGTTGTCTTCATCCTTGAAGGTCGCTAAACCGGCACCAAGGATAATCCCTAGCCCTGGCCATGGCCAATTCGGGTTTCTTTTGGTCCACATCTCCTTTGCGAGTGCCCAAATTTGACTTTGCCCGGGGATTTCGCACTGTGATAGTATGTGTTCCATCGTATCAATCTTTCCACAGTATTGGCATTGACTTCTCTCCTTCTTTTCCGGGCTATTAGATTCTCTGAGCCAATGCGTGCCCACGATGTATGCGTCGTGAGTTGTTTTCCATAGGAAGTTTCGTATTTGCCTGGAGAAGTCCTTGCTCCGCATGGACTTCCATATCTTGGATTCTGTCGGCCGAGAAGCAAAGCCGTCCTCTATCTCTGCCTTGATTTTCTCAATATTGACTACTGTGCGGTCTCTCTTTTTCAGTTTAGTCTTCATCTTTCGTTCACGGATTGCTTTATACGCGAGGGACTGTGTCATGACCGACAGTTTCGCTCCCGTTACTCTCAGGGCTGGTGGAATGTCGAGGGGGACTTCATCATGCACGGGCTTTTTAGCTCCTTCATCGGCCTTAATGTCAGCCCCCTCATTCCGTGCGTGTCCGCTGTGCCCTTTCACCCATTTTATTTTCGTCTTGCGCTTCCTCTGGCGCAGCGTCGCCACTGTTGCCTGGTTCAAGGCTTGTTTGCTATTCCTATATAGCCTTGGTCTTCCCACTTTTTCTTGTTCTTCGTTAGGGCGTTAATGACATATTTTGAATCACTTTCTATCTTGACATCAGTGTCTTCGTCAAGGGTCCGTACCACTTCTTTCACAGCGGTCATCTCTGCTGTTTGGTTTGACTGTTCTAGTGTCGGCGGGAGCCTAATTGCCTGGTTTCTTGGGTCGTCTTCCACAAAGTATATTCCAGCCCCTGCCACGGCGTCATCGTGCCCGTTATTAAAGCAAGAGCCATCGGTGGCCACTATCTCTTGGAGAGCAAAGGTGTCGTCTGGTCTCAAGTCCGGTGGTGTGTTCAGTACTTCTCCCTCCGTGAAGATTCTGAATATTTCTGCTAGTGTGCCGGTGGTTGTGACGCTCTTGTCAAAGGTGATCCAACCATCCTCGTCTTCTTCCATGCTCTCCTGGACCTCGTAGTCCTTCGGTTGCACCCGTCGCGGGTCCCATTTGTATGGCAGTTTATCTAAGAGCTCGCGCGCTCTAAGGCAGCATGCTTGGGGGTTGTCACCGGTTCACTCCTGCGTGAGAGTGTATATTGGATATCGCAACAGCTTGAATCACATCGGTGTGTATTAATATTATGAATAGGAACAAAAACGGAATCAAAATCAAGTCAACCTACTCGGACGCGGGGAATCGAACCCCGGACTGCCAGAAACGCGATCGCATCCAATATCAAGCGAGTCTGGCGGTGCTCCCTACACCACATCCGATTCACTCACCTTCGTGATACCATACTCTCGCCCAATAATGAGTTCAGTGTAATGAACACCCAACTCGCCCGCGGTGGCTCCCATTCAAGCAACAACCTACACGGATTCGCCGATGCAGCGCGCAAATTAGACAGGCCCAGAAACGGAGTCAAGGAAGCGCTGGAACGATCTGCGGAACAGAAAGAAAAAAAAAAACACGATAACGACCTACCCGGACGCGGGGAGTCGAACCCCGGACTGCCAGAAACGCAATCGCATACCCCATGAAGAGAGTCTGGCGGTGTTCCTACACCACATCGGATTATCTTACCTCTTCATTCCCGCGTCGTGAAGTGGTCGAGTAAACGGAAGGCTGAGATGAATCGAAACGAAAAAAAAAGAGCGTGACAAGCCCGCAGACGCAGTCCCGTTCATATATGTATACATATCCTTACTTGGGACTGTTGAGAATATTAATAATAATATATTCGAGCTGGCTGTTCATGCATGTATGCGCACCTCAGAATAAAGATTTCTCCTCGGAATTATAAATTATAACTTACCAATTGCAGAGTCGCCGTCGGCACCGGCGATTCGGTGGCTGATGCTGTCCACCCTTTATCCAAAGAGAGGTTTTATCCAAAGGAAGGTTAAGGAGGCGTAACGTTAACAGGTTACGGATGGGGTGATCGTTAACAGTTAACAGTACGTACGATGCTGATATAGGGAGGCTGATATAGGTATAGAGAGGACCTGGACCTGGACTGGTACTTTACCCCCTTGATCGTGATCTTGATGCGGGGCTGGTCAAAGTCGTAAATATATCGAGTATAAATATACCTTACCTTGAAGTGCGAAGGCAAATATGGCGCGTACGTGGGACGGCACGGTACGAGAACCAGGGAAAACTTGGGTGTATAGGACGATCTGAATCGCCTCAATGTCGAGAGGTACCGGGACTGGACTTGGATAGACGGCGGCGACGCGTGCGAGAGACGAGAGACAAGGACGAGAGTCATGAAGGGAAGATGGATCAGATGGATCACGGTAAACACAAAAAGAAGTTGGGAAGTTCTGCTGAAGCTGAAGCTGAACGATGGATGGATGGATGGGCGCACGCGTCAGGCACCGTGCACGGAAGTATGTATAGAGAGATTGCAGAGAGATGGGAGATGGGAGATGGGTACCAGCGGCTTGCGAGCGGCAGTCGAGGCGGGCCGAGGCGCGCATGGAACCTCGGCGGCAAGTATGACGCATTATCGACGTCGGTGGCTGGCGGTGGTCGCGATGGGCGCACATGGGCGCACCCACGCCGACCGTGCGCACTCGGGCTTGAGAATGAAAACTGAAATTTGAGATCGTACGACTTGAGGAGATCCACACGAGGTCACATGGGTATCGGTGTCATCGAAGAATATTTGGCGATGGCGAGGTCTGGTCTGGCCTCGGGCCCGGCGTGCGTGCGTGCGACTCGGCGACGGCGAGAGTAAATGGAGAGTCCACGCGAAGAATCTGCCAGAGGGGTCACATGGGCAGGTTGACGTGAATTCGAATTCGGAAGAATGCAAGAATGCCAGAACGACGTAGACCGAGAAACAGCACGCACGGGGAGAGAGGATCGTACGAGCGCTTGACGAGCGCCCAATTTTTTGCATGTACCTGAGAGCAGCTTTAACTGAAAACAGACTTGGACGAAGAAGGCGGAGATCACAATAAAACACACACGCACGCGTGTGAAAATTGGGGAAGAAGCCAGGCTGAAGCGGTGGGGTAAGATGGCAACGCCGCAACTGCCGCAACTGTAACAGGGTGGGGTGTGAATTTCGAAGGCGATCTTCAGGCATTCCATCTGTTTGAGAATCGCGCTGTACTTAGCGGGAGTAATGAAAGGCGTCGGGCGTCGTCGGGCATAGAGAGGTATAAGTCTAGGGTGCGCTCCAGTCAAGCGTCGGTGTGGATGTACGGCATCCCCGAACCGCCGACGCACGTTTAGGAGCCGGTGTGCATGCACGCGGAGGTGAAATGGGTGGGCGAGCCTGCACGCGTGGAAGCGAAAGACAAACGCCGTGGCGATCAAATCAGATGGACAGGTCAGCTGATGTTCCTGGGCGGAGTTTGAATTGAAATTTCTGGCGAGACGTCACTTTGTTAATTCACGTCCACGCTGCTGCTATTTCGGTCCTCCTCAAAGGGTTACATTGTATATGGGCGTCGAGTGAGCGAGTGAGAGGTTGGACATAGGAGGCAGGACGAAGGGAGGACAAGGGATAGGAAAGGAGGGGTTAGCGGTGAGCACATAGGATTCATTGGATGGACAGGAGCCTTATTCGCTTTCACAGTGACATCAGTTGACAGCCAGCCCCACGCCAGACTATATAAGTCTGTCGTCCCACTTTTCTTCCTTCCCTCTTCCCCCCATCCTCCTCCCACCACAAAAAAAAAAAAACTTGACGTCTATTACGATGCGCTTCTTCGTCACTCTCGTCGCCCTCGCCTCCGCCTCGCTCGCCGTCGCCCAGTCCTCAGGCTTGATCAGCTCAGGCTCCGCGGCCAGCGCCGCCTCGAGCGTCGCCTCGAGCAAGAGCTCCGTAGCGAGCAGCAAGAGCGTCGTCGCGTCCAGCGTCAGCGCCGCCATTTCCTCCGGCGCCTCCTCCGGCTCCGCCGCCGCCGCCAGCGCCAGCGCCATCGCCGCCCTCTCCCCGTGTGCCCTCAACTGCATCGCCGCCGCCGCCAACGCGACCGTGTGTGGTATCCCGTGCGTCCCTCTTCCTTCTCTCAGTGTTATTCCGGGGCTCACGCACGCGTTCGCACCACAGCGCAAACGTCACCTGCGTGTGCACCAACGCCGACTTCCAGTTCAAGGCCGGGTCCTGCCTCACGAACGAGTGCCAGGCCGCGGAGATGGGCGCTGCTCTTGGGTTGCAGTCGCAGCAGTGTGGTGCTGGTGCGTGTTGTTTTCATTTCGCTCCCTATTCTCTTCTTTTCCTCCGATCGTTCGTTTGATTCTCGTCTCCCCCACGCTATCTATATATTACCTCCGCCGCTAGCTATTCTTGCTCGCCTCCCATCTTTTCCGTGCACTTCTCGTCTACTTTGGCGCCCGCTCTATTCCCGCTCTTTCCCCGTCGGGCATCGCGTTTCGTCCTGGTATTCGCCCACCTATTTCTGTTGTGTTATTAGTAGAGGCGCAAACGTCGTCAACCCTTTCTTTCCACCTCCTGCCGCGTCTTCCTTCCATCTCGAAAGACACCGTCCCTTGCCCCCTATCCGTGCGCGCGGGCCTATTCTCCCCTCGCCCTTCTCCTCTTTCCTGTTTACTTCTCTCCCGCTCCCGTCGTTCCTCCCCTTCTCCCCTTCTTTCCCCATCGCCCTTCTCATACCTCAACTAACCTACGCCCCAACAGCCACCCTCTCCGCCACCGCCGCGCCCACCGCCACCGCGCCCTTCACGCCGTCCAACAGCGCGTCGGATATCTCGGCGAGTGCGAGTGCGAGTGGTGCGTTTTTTCTTCTTTGACTCGGTTTTTTTTGGATCGTTTTGTGGTTTTTGGAGACGATAATTGTCGACGTGGAGTTATCGACGTGTGGAGTTGGTTGCGCGCTCACGTTCACGCTGGGATGTGCGCGTGCCCGTCGCTCCTCTTTCCCTTATACTTCAATGATGCTCTTCATCTTCATAAAACTAACGCCCCTTCCTTCCTTCCTTACAGCCAAAACCGGCTCGGCCGTCCCCCTCGTCGGTAACGGCGTCTTCGTGGCAGCGGTCGTGGCGGCTCTGGGCGGCGTTGTTGGGGGGTTGTTGATTTGAGCGTAGTTGGTCTGTTCCGTTCTGTTCTGTTGGGATGTGGGCGGGGTGTCGAGAACGAGGGTGGGGAAGAACGTTGGGATGAATAATGTGATGTGATGTGATGTGATGAACCTTGGGATGACGGAGGGCAAGGGGAGAAGGACGAGGACGAGAAAGTACTCTAGCTTGCACGTTTTTTAGTTTTGAGACGGTTCGCATGAATTTGATACCACTTGAACCCCTCGGAAACGCATGATCATGAGACTTGAGTTTTTTTTCTTTTTCTCTGGCGTATCGGCGTACCGGCGAAGTGAACCGCAGTGTTGTGTGAGCGAGCAAGATTGCTCGGGTGGCGCAAAGGAAGGCTATGGTACTATAGTGCTTATCAAGGTCCTTCATTATAATAATCCAGACGAAACAATCATTATATTTACCAAGCCTCTAACTTACCAAAGAAAACAAAGACAGTGTGTGAATCATGCAGAGAGTAGAAGAGATGACTCCGAGTCGGAACTCGACCGTTGAACGCTCAGGCCTCAGGCCTGCGTCTGAATCACGGTGTTCGCTTAATCTTGATATAATACTGTAAGTCCTTTCTTCTGCTCAAGCCCAGATATACGATCAGTTTACAATTTTCCTTTTCGTGCTGAATCCGAGTAGGCTTTTTTTATCTGGTTAAAGTTTTTTTTAAAAAGGGCGGTTGAATGCGAGATATTTAGTTTTGGTTGGTTGGTTGGATTGCAGACTTGGATCGAGCGATCAAGCTTCGAGGGCAGCGCAAAGCAAAGCAAAGCTGGTTGGCTGGTGGGCCTCCACCCACGGGAAAAAATTCTCGATTACGGTACTAGTATTACCAGTCGTACGCGTGCGGCTGTACCTCGACGATGAAATCTACCATTACCTACGGCCGTCTTCAATGACGGGGATCTCGGATAGACGTGAGGTGCGCTCGATATAAAGTGACACACAGGGGGCATGCCCCACCGCTTAAATTCCATAAGCCGCAGATGCTTATGAACGGCGGTTTGCTCGCGGTTTGCTCGCTTATTGATGGCTCGGAGAAATTGCCGCGTGTTTCCCTCGTGTGCATGTGTAATGCACATTGATGTGTCGTGGGTTCAAACCTGCATAACAGCATTCTTTTTAAATATCACCTTTCATTTCTGGCAGACTCAGAAGTACACAAGGAATGTTGGCTACACCTCTAAAACTTACCAAACTTTATGTAGACATA